CCTACTCCTGCATATTAAAGAGAAGACTAGACTGTCATATACAATCTACAGGACAATGGTTGCTAGCCTGAATTTCAGAGGTATGCATAGGCGGGATGACACCTGGGGTATTCCAATTACTTGCTGTATGACCTAAGGAAAGTGACTTAAGGAAAGTTACTTGCCTGCTCTGTGTCTCATTTCCTTCATTTGTGAACTGGAGAGTATAACAATTCCTTCACACAGTTGTCATGAATATTGATCAAGAGGCAGTTTCTGAGACATTGGGAGTGTTCAATGAGGAGAGAAACTATTTGCCATTTTCACTGTCACTGGTTCCTTTATATTTTTTTCTGGTCTGTTAACAGTCACTTCCATGTACCATTTCTATCAGTACCTCTCAGAGACTGTCTAGTACTAACAGAATAAAAACAAAATTCCTTGGACTGGACGTAGTCATGCCTGGAATCCTATCTGTGGAATCAATAATATTTAATTACTTTGTAAAAATTATCACAAGCTTAGCAGTTCAGAATAACACTCATTATTATCCCAGTTTATGTGGGTCAGGAGTCCAGGCACAGTTTAGATCTTCAGTTTCTTCTTCTTCTCCTTCTTCTTTTCTTTCTCTTCTTCTCTTCTTGTTATCTTCCCTTCTTCTTATAATTTTTTTTTTAAAAAATGATGAAGGAGATCCTATTCCCAAAGTCTAGTCACGCAGCAATCCCCTTCTTCTAGTCCTCAAGCCTGTCAAGATCCTGGGTACTTGTGCACGTGCCCAGCATGTTTCATGCTGACCTAGCCAGGAATTTGAACCACCATTGCCATGTGGTATCTGGCTTCTCTCGAGCGGAGCATTACCACTGTGTTACAGAGCTGATCCCCTGGATCTTCAGTTTCTAAGTCTCATAATGTTGCATTCAAAGTGCTGGCTAGAGCTGGATCTCATCTGAGGCTCAACTGGGGGCAGATCCACTTCCAACCTGATGTGACTGATGTTAGCATTTAGAATCTTGCATGCTGCTGAACAAAGTTCCTTAGGTTACTGCAGAGTATAATTCCTTAGTTTACTGCAGAGTATTGATTAGAGGTCATCCTCAATTTCCTGCCATGTGGCCATTTTTCATAGCGTAATTCATGATATGGCATTTTGCTGGATTAAAACCAGAAAGAGAGAGAGTCTTCTAGGAAGATAAACTTTGTAATCTTACATAACATAACTAAATACATCCTGTCACATTTGCTATGTTGTCGGCTACAAACAAGTCACATACTCGCTTCTACTTCTACTCATTCTCAAGCAGAGGAAATCACACTACAGTGTGAGCACCAGAAGGCAGGGATCATGGGAACCGTAGTCTGCCACTGGGGCCAGAATCGAATGCTGGTGGTTGGTTGCCATCACCTCTGTTTATTTCTCACCACCTTTCTGCAATATGAAAAATGAATACAGAGTGATTTTCTATGTCGTAGGGTTGTTGAGAAGATAAAATGAAGTAAATTACTTTATAAAGTATTCTATACCCACTGAACTCTTAACTACTTTTCTTTCTGTATTCATGATACAGGACATGTGCATGCATCATGCATGAGAGAGAGAGAGAGAAAAAGAGAGAAACATCCTTCACAGGGTCTTGTCATGCCACAATCCCCTCCTTCAATTTCTCCAGCCCTTCAGATCTTGGGCACTTGTGTGTGTGTCCAGAATGTTTATGGCTTACTGGACTGGGGAAGTCAAGCCATGGTTGCATGTAGGATCCAGCTTCTCTTGAGCAGCATATTACTGCTGTACTTATGAAATCGGCTCCAGGTAGTATCTACTTTAAAGTCTCCCTTAAAGTTCAACCTTTTCATGAGGGCTTGGCTATGCATGAGTTACTTGCATGAGTTTCTCCTTTCTTATGACAGAAACTATTGGTCCACTCATAGTCCATACGTTATCATATACTCTCACGTTTCATGAATGAAACATTTATGATACATACCTATCTGTCTGATAAAATTGTGAACAACTACAGGATAAGGAATTTTTCTCTATAAATAATAAAAATAACTAATATTTATTAAATGCTTAGGATGTGTTAGGCACTCTGGTAAGCATCTTTTTATTTGTTATTCTAATCCTTAAAACAACTCCTTGAGGTAAGTCCTGATATTACTCTATTTTGCAGGTAAAATAAGTGTAGTCCAGGGAGGTTAAATAATTTTCCCAAGGTCACAGAGCTAGTCAGAGATAGCTAACCCCAGGAATGAAACTCTTACTTGCCTCATACACCACACTACCTTTTTTGCGTGGTCTAGAGCAGTGTGATGTATAAAGTCATTACTCACTTTAGTTTTTGATAAATGAATTTGTGTGTTGAGAGAATACTACAGTAGAGAAGTCTGGGGAAGTCCATTTACCCTTTCTCTCTTTCTTTCTTTTTTTAAGAATTATTTCCTTTATTTGATTTATCATTATTGTTACTTTCAATTTGTCTAGAGTGAGAAACAGAGAGAGAGAGAAAAAGCAAGAAAACAAGCTGCCAGGTCCAGGACTCATACCATGGTCAGCCATGTGGGAGTCCAGCACCCTCAACCACCATGCCACCTGCCAGTCCCGAGATGTCCATTTCTCTACTGAGGTTTAAGATAGGGGACAAGTGTGTGTCCTGGAGTCATCACCTTCTTTTTTGTTGTTGTTGTTGATAGAAAGTCACCACGGGGCCAGCCCCATGGTCTGATGATTGGGGGAGCCAGATTTGATAGGGAGAACTACATGGTTTGAGTCAGAACCTTGGCTTGAAAAACATGCTGAAGGGACCAGTAAATGGCATAATGGTTATGGCACTGGACTCCCATGTAGTCTACCATGGTTCGAGTACCAGACCAGGCAACTTAAAACACACCAGCGAATATATGTACGTGCCCAAGATCCCGAGAGGAGAATGGAAGAGAAGGGATTGTGGCATGACCATCCCCCGGGGGGTGATTTCTTGCTTTCTGTCTTTCTGTCGCTCTGTCTCTCTCTGTCTCTCCAGTGAGTACAGGCTCCCTAAAGTAAAAATCTCTCTACAAAATAATAAAAATAAAAATAAAAGCCATGCTGGATGCATGTGCACTTATAATCTTGACAAGATACAGAAATGAAAGAGGAGGGATTGTGTCATGATCTTACCCCTCTGGGAGGTGATTTCTCCCTGCCCCCTATGTCTCTGACTCTCTTTAGCAAGTGTATGTAACCTCTGGCAATTATTTTCACAAAAGGAAATCACCATGGATACTAAATGGCCATATTCTGGGCAACCTTCTATTGAAGTCATAATTAAAAATTGGAACCCTTGGGGTATGTTGTGGTGTCTAGGAGTGTGTTGTCAACTGGTTCTCATTTCTCATGGTTCCCATCATCATGAATATCTGTATCCACATTATGTCCATTCAGAGCTCTATCGGGTTCTCCTCTTAGAGTATTCATCTTTGAATCTCTGGCCTATTCACCTGCATCACAGCACTAAGAATATAAATTCCGGGGTCCCACAATGTGAATTATCTGTGAGTACTTATTTCCAGTACTGGGGACAGGGCCCTTTGGAAAAACTAGGCACTGAGCCAGAAAGAGAGAGTGACCAAAAGTGGCCTGGTTCCTCTTAACCTAAATCTTGTCCTTCAGCAAAGTAGAAGACTAAACCTCTCGGGAAATATTAGATGTTCCACTAGACGTTATTTGGACTTTTTCTCCTGTTCGATCTGTTCATGAAATGCCATTCTGACCTCAATTTTATTTTTTGTTATTTCAGAATGAAGCTGGGGCCAAATGGACTGCCTTTTATGAGGAACAGTCAAATCAATCTAAAAGATATCCACTACAAGAAATTCAGGATACCACAGAAAAGCTTCAGTTGAAGGCCCTTCAGCAGACTGGGTCTTCAGTGCTCTCAGAAGATAAAAGAAAACAAGTATGCTTATGAACATTTTAGTATTGATCCCAAGAGTTCAAATGTTTGTGAAATATTAACCATAAATCTCACCTGTAACTGCTTTCTTTCTCAGCAAAGATAGTAATACTGGCATTGGAAAGAGCTTTGTGCCTCGGTAGAGTGACTATATAATTTATTTTTCAAACTAGAATCTTTTTGACTGTGAAAGAAGATACTGGCAATAGTTAGGTTCAGACACAGAATCAAATTGGGATTATATGAGGCATTGTGGTACATATGGATATTCTCTGCAAAAGTCACCTTCCTGAGGATTAGGAAGCTTGAAGAATATATTTGGTCTATATCATTGGTTCTCAACTAGGGTGATTTTGCCTCCTGGGGAAATTTGACTATGTTTGGAAACATTTTTGGTTGTCACATCTTGGGGATACTGTTGGCATCTAATAAGTAGGGATGCTGTTGAACATTTTACAGAGCACAGGGCAGCTCCCCATAACAAAGAATGATCTGGTTCAAAATGTCAATAGTGCAAAGCTAGGAAAGTTCCATGTGGAGTCTGATTCTTTCCCCCTTTTATCTTTAACTGTCCTTTGTGACTTCTTTAACAAGTGGCTAACAACCTCAGTTCAAATTGAGATTCAGCTCTTCACAAGACAACCATTCCATGTGAGTCCCTTCAATTAATGGAAAATCCTCCCTCTATTGAGTGTAAAGTGACTTACTTCCACCTGGTTCTACCTTCTAGATTCATACTGCTCTTTTCCATAATAGTTTTTACTTGGGGCGGGGGGGGGGGGGGGGGGGGATTTGTGCTATAGGGTGCATGCGCTCACTGGAGAGACAGAGAAAGCAAGAAATCACTTCCCAGAAGGGATAGCCACACCGCAGTCCCGTCTCCTCTATTCTCCTCTTGGGGTTTGGGGCACGTGTGCACACATGCCCTGTGTGAGTTTTAAGCTGCTGGGTCCAGGATTTGAACCGTGGTCTACTACATGGGAGTCCAGCAATATGACCATTATGTCATCTGCTGGTCCCTTCCAAAATAGTCTTTAAATAAATGAAAGCAGCTAATTTTTTAAATGAGCTCTTTCTTTCTCCAGACTAAACATCCTTTACTTTGTTGATTTTCTGCTATACAATGGTTTTGAGTCTCCTCACCAGTCCTAGTTGGTCTTCATTTTGTCAGTATCCTTGAACTGAGCTTTGTAGCACTCTGAGTGGACTTTGGTCCGCACAGAGGTGAGTACGAATATGACATTGTGCAGTCTGTGCTCTACATGTACTAAGGCAGTCTAAGACTATATTCAGGCTTTCTTTTTCATTTTAAAACAATTTCAAATAAAGTTTATTTATTTAATTATTTATTTGCTACAGTGTGTGTGATCTTGCTGGGGGCAGGAGGAGGGAGAAAAGGAAAGTGAGAAATCAACACCCCCTCCCCCATGGAGATGGCCACACCACAATTCCTTCTTCTCCTTATCTCCCTCCTTTTCGGATTTTGGGCACACAGGTACACATGTCCAGGATGTTTCTCAAGCTACCTGGACTGGGACTCAAACTGTGTGGTCAGCCATGTGTGATACAGCTGCCTTCACCACCACATCACCAATTGGACCTGTCTTTTTTTTCCTCCCTCATAGAGTGCATACACTCACCTGAGAGAAACAGAGAAAGGGAAAGTGAGAAATCACCCCTCAGGAGGGATGGCCACACTGCAATCCCTTCTTCTCCTAGGATTTTGGGCACACACGCACGTGCCCGGTGTGATTTTCAAGCCACCAGGTCTGCGGCTTCAACTGTGGGTCAGCCATGTGGGACTCCAGTGCCTTAACCACCATGCCACCTGCTGGCTCTGTCCCTTCTCTTTGAAGCCATTCCTAAGCATTCAAGTTATTAGTCCTCCTATAGTGCCATATTACTTTTTGATGAAAGTTATAACACTTGCTATTCTGTTCTCAGTTATTGTCTTTATAGATGCCTCATTGTCTCATGACTTTGGGGTTCTTGAGAGCCAGCAACTTGTTCATTTCATAATTGTCAGACTACAGAACATAATAGAGTTTCAGTAAATACTGAATGAAATAAAACAAAAAGAATGAACTTCTCTTTATATGTATAGGTGAAAAATATTCTTGGTGGTTAAAAAGATCTGTTTATTTCAATTACCCCACATATATTTATCATGTGTTTATAAATCTTTGTACTGGTTGACAGTGGGAAAACTTTACTGAAATATGTCTTCCATTCATAGAGGAAGATACTTGGCAAAGATGTCAATTGTTATGTTTTGAGGCATCAAAAAGTCACATGGCCAAAAAGGAAAACTTTATGTCAGCATTCTATTTTTAACATTGTTTATTATCTTTAATTTGCAGTTAAACACTATTCTAAATACAATGAGCACCATCTACAGTACTGGAGAAGTTTGTAATCCAAATAATCCTCTGGAGTGCTTATTGCTTGAGCCAGGTAGGCTTTCAATTTGGGGCAATGATTATGAAATTTATTTTTTCTCTCAAGTTTTAAAAATGGTGTTTACATTAGATGGTAATACTGTGCTTCTCATATAGATAACCCAACAATGGTGAGATTTCAGAGATGTGTGTTCCATCACATAAATGCTCTCTTAACTGTTAACAAAACCTCACTGTTAATTCTATCACATTCAAAAACTTTAATTAAGCTAGTAGTTAAATTATTTCAAGTTTCTTTGGGGACATATTTGCAACTACAGTAAAAGTGAGGAAATTAACAAATCATGAGACTTAACTTAATAACTTTATGACCTTGGTATCTGCCGACCTTACTTTTATTTCTCCCATCATGAATACACCGTATATTGGTTCAGTTAAAGATATTACCATATACATTAACAACAGATAATTTTCTGTTTTCGTGTCCCTTAAAATGTTTTGCTTCTTTCTTATTCCCTTTGATTCCCTCCCTCTCACCCTTCCCCATTACCCAGTCCCCTCCCATACTGTCTATAGTATTCACAGTTGCACTCCATGCCTTTATACTTCCCAATCTTTCAGTTTCTGCCATAGAATGCAGACATTTAGTATATATTGAGTGGGAACATATAATGTCTCTCTTTCATAGTCTGACTTACTTTACTTAGCAGTAAATCTTTCATATTTGTCCACTTTCTATCAAACACCAGGATCTTTTTTTTTTTAATGGCTGAGTAGTGTTCTGTAGTGTATATATGTCACACTTTTTCAATCTATTCATCTGTTTGTGGACATTTGGGTTGGCCCCATGTCTTAGCAATTGTGAATAATTTTACAATAAACATGGACATGCAAGTGGTTTTCCAACTGAATGTATTCCTGTTTTTTTTGGTAGATACCCAGGGGTGGAATTGCTGGATCATATGGTAGTTCTATTTGTAGGTCTTTGAGGAACCTCCATACTGTTCTCCACAGTGGCTATACATTCCCTCCAACAGTGTAGGAGAGTTCCCTTTTCTCCACAGCCTTGCCAGCACTTATCATTCTTTATATATTTTTAATCTTAGCTATTCTGACTAGGGTTAGGTGGTATCTCATTGTGGTTTTAATTAGCATCTCCCTTATGATAAGTGATGCTGAGCATTTTTTCATATGCTTTTTTGGCCATTCATATGTCTTTGAGAGTTGTCTGTTAAGCTCATTTGTCCATCTTTTAATTAGGTTGATTTTTTTCTTTTCAAGTAAGATGTTTGAATTCCCTGTATATTCTGGTTATCAATCCCTTATCTGAGGCCTAGTTTGCAAATATATTCTCTCATTCTGAGGGTTGTCAATTCACTCTTATTATTGTTTCTTTTGCTGTGCAGAAGCTTTTTAACATGATATAATCCTACTTGTCTATTTTGAGGGTTATTACCTGTGCTTTGGGGAGGGTCTTATTTAAGAAGTCTTTGCCTACTCTAATGTCTCTGAGTTTCCCCTGTGTTTTCCACCAGTAATTTTATAGTTTGTGGTCTTAGGTTTAGATCTTTGATCCATTTTGAGTTGACTTTTGTTAGTGGTGAAAGATAGGGGTCCAGTTTCCTCTTTCTGCAGATGGATACCCAGTTTTTCCTGGTACCATTTACTAAAGAGATTTTCTTTTTCTCACTGTATTATCTGGTGCCCTTTGTCAAAAATCAGTTGGCTATATGTTTTGTGTTTATTTCTGAGGTCTCTATTCAGTTCCATTGGTCTACATGCCTGTTTTTGTGCTAGTACCAAGCTATTTTGATTATCACAGCTTTGTAATATATTTTGAGGTCAGGGAGTGAGGTGTCTCCTATTCCACTCATCTTCCACAGTATTATTTTGGCAATACAGGGTCTTTTATGATTCCAGACAAATTTTATGATTTTTTTTTCTAAATCTGTGAAGAGTATCTCTGGTAATTTGATTGGGATTGCATTAAATTTGTAGATTACTTAGGGTAGAATTGACATTTTGATTATATTCTCCCAATCCAGGAACATGGGGTATCTTTCCACTTTTTTGTGTGTCATTTTAAATTTTTTAACAATATTTTTGTAGATTTCCTTGTAGAGATCTTTGACTTCTTTGGTTAGGTTTATTCCTAGGTATCTTGTAATTTTTCTGGTTATTGTAAAGAGATTGTTTTCTTCAATTCTACCTCAGTCTGCTCTGCTTACTATTTGTGTATAGAAATCCCAACCTTACTGTTAATTCTTTAAAGTTTATAAAATTGTTTACAAATAAAATGTTTACAAACGTATGTTCATTTTCCTTTGGGTGCTTTGCAATAACAGGCTTGGACGACATAATGACAAAGAGCACAGACTACAACGAGAGGCTCTGGGCTTGGGAAGGTTGGAGGTCTCAGGTGGGCAAGCAGCTGAGGCCATTATATGAAGAGTACGTGGTCCTGAAAAATGAGATGGCAAGAGCAAACAGTAAGTTTATTGGTCCATAGAGGTCCTGAAGCTCTCTATGGGGCTATGCGGCTATGGGGATATTTCTCATGTGTTACCATGCCTGCCTTTTGATATCAGAGATAGCCCTCAACTATTGATCATCTGTTGAACAATCCAGGTTATTTGCCTAGGAAGAAATACCAGAGAGTAATAAAAGGTACATTGGCATTCTGCAGTTTGAAGAGCTCAGGAATGAGACTCAACTATGGAGCCTTAATTAATTACCCACAAATTATGAATTATAAGTTATTCAGGAAAGTCTCAGGTCACCAAGGGTGTCTGAGAGAGTCTGGAAATGGAGTGAGTATCCTATTTACCAGATAAGATGAAAGACAGACACTATCCTTCACTAAAACCCTTATGGCCACAGTTCATTCTCAAAGGCTATTTGCATGCCTACTTCAGGATTATGTTCTAGAAAGAAAAAAAAAATAGATTAGGCTGGAAACCTATTTTCTGCATTTGTAATTATAGCTCAAATCATGTGGTAATAAAAATTCTAACATGGGAAGGAATTTCCATATCTCTTAACTTATTCTCCAGCCTGAATAATGAACTGAAGTCGTAACATTATGAATAACTTTATGTTTTGGTGACTCATTGCCCTCTGGGGTTGAGTAAGGAAGAATTTTTTTTTTCTCATTCATTGCTTCTAAATTTCTTCCTCTGCCAGTTAAACTCATGTTCTCAAGCCTTTGGCAAGTTAGAGACAGTAGCTTATCACCATTTAAAAAAATAATATCCTGCATATCCTTCCATCAAAATATTTATTTCTCTCATCTTCTTGGTCACTTATTGCCAGTGTATGTGTAAACATAAAAATTATTAAAACACATTTACCAATTTTATTAGCTAATACCATAACACAAACTCGTTTCCTGATGAGATAGTAAATAAAATTCATAGAGATATGTCATGCATACATATAATTTACAGACAAACACAGGCTCACTGCCACAGTAATTAAGGTGAATTGGTTCAGATCTGAAAATATAAGTCCCTGAACAAAATGAAAATTAAAAAAAAAAAACCTCAGAGACCCAATTGCATGTTTTTTTAAGAATTATTTATTTAATTAATTCAATTTATTATTATTCTTAATTTGACCAGAGAGAGAGAGAGAGAAAGCAAGCCACCAGGCCCGGGACTCAAACCGTAGTCGGCCATGTGGGAATCCAGCGCCTCCAACCACCACACCATTTGTCACCTCCCCCCCAATTACATGTTTTAAAGCTAAATATGCAAACTGACCTATGGACAGAGTAGAGAGGGGCAGGGTAAAGAGACTAGGAATATGCCTCTGTCCCTTATTAGCTATGTGATGTTGGACAAGTGATTTAACCACCCTAAGCACAGGCTGTTGATGGGAATGTTTATTGAAGCAGTTCTTATGGAAAACAGTATGGAAGATCCTTTAAAAAATTAAAAATAAAATTACCATATGACTCAGCAACCCACTTTCTGGTATATATCCAAAATAAATGGAATCGCTACTTCAGAAAGGTATCTGCAGTCTCATGTTCATCATAGCATTATTCACAGTAGCCAAGATATAAAAATAACTTAAGAGTCTATCGGTGGAAAATGGATCAAGAAATTGTGAATAATATGAATATTATTCAATCTTTAAAAAGGAAGCCATCTTGTCATCTGCCACAACATGGATAGACCTGGAGGACACTATATTGAGTAAAATATGCCAGACACAAATAGAAAACTATGGCATTATCTCACATATATGTGGAATCTTAAAAAAAAAAAAAAGGTTCAAATACACAGAGATAGATAATAACACAGTAGTTACCAGGGGTAGGGTGGGAGGAAGAAATGAGGAGATGTTGGTGAAAGGATAAAAAGTAGCAGGTATGTGGGATGAACAAGTCTTGAGATCTAATGTACAACATGAAGACTGTTGTTAAGAATAGATTCTCTTCAGGATTTTTGCTAAATGAGTAGATTACAGCTTCTCTTAAAGGGAAAAAATAAGTAACCATGTGAGATGATGGATATGTGAATTTGTTTCACTATAATACACATTTTACATCATGCATACACACACAGGCACACATGCACACACATATATAGACAGATATACACAGATAGATAGATACACTCAATCACATCATAGTGTATCTTAAATACATAATAACATTTATTTTAAAAATATGCATAGGCTGTTAATCTGCACAGTGGGGAGTTATAATAACTACAATCTTGTATAGTTTTTGTGCTAAACTCCTGGCACAGAACAAGAGCTTCACAGACATTAGCTAGTGCTATTACTCATTTGCATTTTTTCAAGCTGATGTTTAGAAGGGCATCAAAAATGTGATAAACCTTTAGTCTTCTTTTAACTTCCCAGCAAGTATTAACTATGTACACTATGCTTTCTTCCTTTCTTTTGTCTCATGTTCTCCTCTTTCTCCTTTTTAAAAAACAGATTATGAGGACTACGGGGATTATTGGAGAGCAGATTATGAAGTGGAGGGAGAAGGCAACTATGACTACAACCGCACCCAGTTAATTGAAGATGTGGAAATATGCCTCTGTCCCTTATTAGCTATGTGATGTTGGACAAGTGATTTAACCACCCTAAGCACAGGCTGTTGATGGGAATGTTTATTGAAGCAGTTCTTATGGAAAACAGTATGGAAGATCCTTTAAAAAATTAAAAATAAAATTACCATATGACTCAGCAACCCACTTTCTGGTATATATCCAAAATAAATGGAATCGCTACTTCAGAAAGGTATCTGCAGTCTCATGTTCATCATAGCATTATTCACAGTAGCCAAGATATAAAAATAACTTAAGAGTCTATCGGTGGAAAATGGATCAAGAAATTGTGAATAATATGAATATTATTCAATCTTTAAAAAGGAAGCCATCTTGTCATCTGCCACAACATGGATAGACCTGGAGGACACTATATTGAGTAAAATATGCCAGACACAAATAGAAAACTATGGCATTATCTCACATATATGTGGAATCTTAAAAAAAAAAAAAAGGTTCAAATACACAGAGATAGATAATAACACAGTAGTTACCAGGGGTAGGGTGGGAGGAAGAAATGAGGAGATGTTGGTGAAAGGATAAAAAGTAGCAGGTATGTGGGATGAACAAGTCTTGAGATCTAATGTACAACATGAAGACTGTTGTTAAGAATAGATTCTCTTCAGGATTTTTGCTAAATGAGTAGATTACAGCTTCTCTTAAAGGGAAAAAATAAGTAACCATGTGAGATGATGGATATGTGAATTTGTTTCACTATAATACACATTTTACATCATGCATACACACACAGGCACACATGCACACACATATATAGACAGATATACACAGATAGATAGATACACTCAATCACATCATAGTGTATCTTAAATACATAATAACATTTATTTTAAAAATATGCATAGGCTGTTAATCTGCACAGTGGGGAGTTATAATAACTACAATCTTGTATAGTTTTTGTGCTAAACTCCTGGCACAGAACAAGAGCTTCACAGACATTAGCTAGTGCTATTACTCATTTGCATTTTTTCAAGCTGATGTTTAGAAGGGCATCAAAAATGTGATAAACCTTTAGTCTTCTTTTAACTTCCCAGCAAGTATTAACTATGTACACTATGCTTTCTTCCTTTCTTTTGTCTCATGTTCTCCTCTTTCTCCTTTTTAAAAAACAGATTATGAGGACTACGGGGATTATTGGAGAGCAGATTATGAAGTGGAGGGAGAAGGCAACTATGACTACAACCGCACCCAGTTAATTGAAGATGTGGAGAGTATTTTTGCAGAGGTAACCAGAAAATTGTATTTGGAGAAAGACATAGGGCAGCACACAGGAAGAAGGAGTAAGAAACAAAGGCATTCTAGCTTGTTCTTGACACACTGGTTAGCCATTCCCAGGCCTCATAGAGTTAGAGAATTTGAGCTTGAAAAGATTCTAGAGAATAATAGGGCATCTACTACAGAGGGGCAGAATTGCTGTTTTTCTTCTCCTTTCAGTCACTGATCAGTAATTACCAATTGAAAGATTACAAGTAGAAATGGTCTCTGTGAGCTGCCTGGGGCTGGCATTGTCTTCCTTTGTTAGCAGACAATTGATACTATTATTTCAGTAGCCTTTGACTAAGAAAGAAGTGAGAGTCTTGTGAGCAGAAAATGTTCCTGGGTATATCCCTTTTCCTTCATTTTGAGCCCCATGCCACCAATTTACCCATGCACGTTCAAACTTCTGATGCGATGCTACTCTACCACAGCCATAGTTAGCTGAGTGTAGCCATAGTAGAGTCTGAGGAAGGACATTAAGGAGAAAAATAGAGAGGAAAATCATTTATGGGACAAAGAAATGGGTTATTATCTATCGAAGGTAACTTTATAGTATTGTTAACTGGACTGGTAAGAAACAGACACATGTTGGAATACTCACTTTGCAAATTAAGTAACATGTGATTGAATGTATAAAAGAAATTGAAATTTAAAAATTAAAGAAAAAAAAAAAAAGGAAGATGGACCCACCGCCACCACCACAAAAAAATAAAAAAAGGAATGGGCAAAAGATTTGACAAGGCACATCATTGAAGAAACTATAGAAATGGCAACTAAGCAAGTAAAATGTTATCAGGTAAATGCAAATTAAAATTATGATGAAAAAAATCCCCTACACATCCACCAGAATGTCTATAATCAAAAGGATACTTGAGTTGGCCTTGTAGCCTAGTGGTTAAGGGAGTCAGATCCCATATGGCTAACCACAGTTTGAATTCCAGACATAGCAGCATGAAAAACAAAACAAAAAGCCTGTGTGCCCCAAATCCCAACAGGATGGAGAAATCGAGAAGGGACTGTGCTGTGACCACACTCCATTGGGGGTTGCTCACTCTCTCTCTTTTGCAAGCACACATGCCTTCTGACAATTAAAAAAAAAGGATACCAAGTGTTGAGGAGGATGTGGAGATATAGGAGACCTCATACACTGTTGGCAAAAATGTAAAAGGGAAGAATTGGAAAAGGTTTGCAATTTTTTTCATTATTTCCTTCCTTCCTGTCTTCCCTTCCTTTTCCCTTCTTATTTTTCTCTTTCTTTGTTCTTTTTCTTTCTTTCTTTTTTCCTAGACAGGATCTTACTGTGTTGTTCAGGCCAGCCTCAAGTTTGCTATCCTCCTGCTCTACCTCTTGTGTCACTGAGATTACAGATACACACCACTATGCCTGGCCTTTAGGCTGGACTGGAAATCAAACCAGGGCATCCCACATGGTCCCAGCCTGCAGAACATAGCATCTTAGGAGCATGCATCACTGCTGCTGGGCAGTTTGGCAATTTCTTAAAAAGTTAAATGCACACTTACCATATGATTAGTTATTCCAACCTTAAGTATTTATAAATGTAAACATATATCCATAGAAAGATTTATACACATAAGCCCATAGCAGAATTGTTCATAATAGCCCCACATTGGAGATAACCCAGTCACCCTTCAATTGGTGAATGCATAAATAAACTCCGATATAGTCACACAATGGAATACTACTCAGTAATAAAATGGAACAAACTACCGATATATGCAGTGGCATAGAGGGACCTAAAAACATTCTAAGTGAAAGACGCCAGACACAAAGATCACTTATTATATGACTCCATTTATATGAAATGTCCAGAACAGACAAAACTATAGAGACTATACATCAGTTCAGTGAAGTGGGAGTGAAATTGAGTGCAATGAGCACAGGATATTCTTGGAGGGTGATGGAAATATTTGGGGTTGATGAGTTCCCAACATTTGTAGTTTAATAATAAAACTCATGAAACTATACTCTTAAAAGTGGGTGAATTTTATGGCATGTAAATTACACCTTAATTTAAAAACCTAGGAAATAACATCTTTAAAAATCAAAAAATCATTTTTTAGGGACTAGCAGTTAGCATAATGACTATGTTGCTGGACTCCCATGTGGTCAACTGCAGTTCGAGTCCTGGACCCAGTGGCTTAAACTCATGCTGGGCGCATGTGCATGCGTGCCCAAGATCCCGAGAGGAAAATGGAGGAGAAGGGATTGCGGCGTGGCCATCTCCCCTGGGGGGTGATTTCTTGCTTTCTGTCTCTCTGTCTCTCTCTGTCTGTCTGGTGAGTACATGTGCCCTATAGCAAAAAACAAAACCTCTCCAAAAAAAAAAAAAAAGAGAAAAAAAATGTTTTTTGTATCTTGTTATTTTTGGGGACCTATGTTTTTCCAGGTATGTTTTTTGATTTATGCAGTGGAGTTAGTCATCAATATGTGGAAAAAGGGGTGTTTTCAAATTCACCAAAATATTAGGAGGAGAAATTATAATTTAGGGAAATTTTACTTGTCTAAAGAAGTTCCTATTGCTAGTGTTGGGGATATAAAATTGGAGTTGGCTACTCTTGGTATTAAACGTTCTTCCTGGGCTTTGCAGATTAAACCATTATATGAACAACTTCACGCTTATGTGAGGGCTAAGTTGATGAATGCCTACCCTTCCAAAATCAATCCAACTGGATGCCTCCCTGCTCATTTGCTTGGTAAGAAACCCAGGAATCCTTTGTGTACTTGACTCTAAACTTTGGAAAAATCCTATGAGTGAAGTAAGTAACACTATAGAAATCATTCCGAAAACACTTTCTTGACCAGAAAAGCCATTTTAAGTAATTCTGTTACAATATTTTGTTTCATACACAGAAAGTTATTATGTTAGCCACAATCCAAAGGATAAATAGGTTATTTATGATAATCAGAGAAAGCATTTCAGATTTAAATGAGTACGGAAAGGGGGGAACTAATTTTTAGTATTCAAGTTCATTGGTTAAGCTCTTGAAGTGTATTTGTAATGTTACTATCATTTTGTCAAAGGAAAGCAGCTTGGAAGGCCGAGGATAGTCAGGGATGAGAGAAAGGCTTTCTAGAATTAAGGTATATCCTGGGTGAAAGCTTTATAAGTTAATTCTAGACTGATTCAATTACTCTTGCTAAAAAGTACTGTTTTGAAATCATGTGAATAATGAATAAAGGAAGATGGCCATTCTCCCTCTCCCAACCCAG